ATTGTCAACCTGAAACAGCTTCCTCCAAATCGAATTTGGGCTCCACCAAAAAAATGTTATGTAAATGTAGGGATACCTGTTACAGACTGTTGAAATCGAATGGAAAGCTGAAGTTGGAAAAGCATTGTCAGCATTAAGAGGCTTTTAAGACAGCACTTAAAGAAACAAGGGCGGGACTGCTTAGAAGGAAGAACAATTGCATCACTAAATTATAATGCCAGGCCGCATACTGGTTTAGAAAAACGTAAAAAAATCGCTTAGCTTGGCAAGAAAATTCTGTCACATTACCCACGCTCTCCAGGTCCAGTACCTTCCGAATATCACCTATCTCTAGTCGTTACGAGAATTTCTGTCGGGAAAAAATAAGAATGAATACAATATTCAACAAGCACTTGATCAATTTCTCGCACCCAGAGATATAACCATCTACACTTCTAAGTGTCAATGAAAGATTAAGATGAAAAAAATGGACGTATTTTATTTCATTTCACAAATATTCAAAATACTAACCAGTCAGCTACATATATGTATACCTGAAATTGATGTCTACTTAACGCATATTATAAACTGCTGTTTAGAGAGGGGATATTTCCCCAATCAGTGGAAACGCGCTATAGTTATTCCGCTACCTAAGTGTTCTGATCCTACTAACTATGGTCAACTGAGACCGATCAGTCTACTGCCAATTTTCTCTAAAGTATTGGAACGTGTTGTTTACGAGCAGCTGTGCGCCTACTTATATTCTAACAAAATTATTCCATCTAAACAATCTGGATTTCGACAAGGTCATAATACAGCTTCGGCACTCTGTGATTTAACAGACAATATAACAATGGCACTTGATAACCAGAAAGCAGTAGCTCTCACACTTCTTGACTTTACTAAAGCATTTGACACCATTAATCACTCGCTTCTTGTATCTAAATGCAGTTACTATGGATTTTCTGAAAAACCTCTTTCGTTTATTCAAACCTACCTTGAAAATCGGTATCAAAAAGTTCGTCTAAATCAACAGTACTCTACGGAACAAAAAATTTGTTCTGGTGTGCCACAGAGATCAGTCTTAGGACCGCTATTATTTTCATTATATATCTCAGATTTAGAAACAGAGGTAAAATCATGCAGCATACAATTTTTTGCAGATGATACTCAAATTTTCTATTCATTTAGGAGTAATGACTTAGAAACCGCAAATAATAAAATTAATCAAGATCTTGCCCAAATTGAAAAGTTCAGTAGTAGTCATAATCTTCGTTTGAACCCTTTGAAGACAAATATGTTGGTATACGCAAATAGAACAAAAAAGAATACCTTAAAAAAGGACATAGACATACATTTAAAAGGTAATAAATTAATTCCTGTGGATCATTCGAAAAACCTAGGTATTATAATGGATGATGACTTAAAATTTGTTGCACACGTGAACTATCTAATTACGCAGTGCTACGCTATTCTCAGAGTTTTATTTGCAAATAAGGCTATATTACATAAATCTGCGAGAAAGCAATTGTGTGAATATTTCGTATTTTCAAAGATATCGTATTGCTTAGTGGTTTACTATCCCTATTTAGATATTATAACAAGAAATCGTATTCAAAGTATTATGAATACATGTTGCAGGCTTGTAAATGATCTCAGAAAATACGATCATATATCGAATGCCATTAATGAACTCAAATGGATGAAAATTGATAAAATACATAAGTACCACCTCCTAAATCTGACTCATAAGGTTCTTTATTCAAAAACACCGTCATATTTAGTAAACAAATTCATACGTAGAGGGAATATGCATCGTATTAATATTAGATATAGAGAGACTTTTTCAATTCCACGCCACAGCACGTCTCTATTTCGGAATTCATACATTTACAATGCGATCAAATCATATAATTCTTTAGACCACAGTTTAAAAGAAACCAATCCATTATCCAAATTCAAGAAAAAAGTGAAAGAAGTTCTTCTTGATCAGCAGCGAAATCGGTTGTAACCCATAAGTGTCCTCATATTTTCCTTATGTATTTACTTGGATTATTCGTTATTGTATACTACCTATTAATTTTCAATAAATTCTTTTTTTTTTTTATTTTTTTTACATCGTATTGTTAAGGGGGTTAGATGGTAGAATAGATATATAATCTAAATCTCGCCTCCTGTAAGAATATTACAAATAAAAGACGTTAATTATTATTATTATTATTATTATTATTATTATATCGGCCACTCTGTACAAGATATGAAAACAATCTATTTTTGTTTTATCTAATATGGACAAAACCTTTAGGTAGGCCTAATGTGGGTAGGAGGAACCGAGTAACCCTACTTGACTCTCGCCTTTTCTGCACACTTCCATGCATTTTTTTATTTTATAGAGCACATACGAAAGCAATTCTTACCACATGTGCACCTCATTGTAATAAAAGACAGATCGTAGACGTCTTTGCCACCACAGCATCCAATTAAAAAATGAAAAAAGCGAAACAAATGAACGTCACTGCCGCCGCTCGGTTGCCAGGCCCACTTCGCCTCCCATGACGGTACTTAATATGGTGTGAATGAACAACTGTCATGGTTGTGAGAAACATAAAGGAATATGAAGACTTATAGTAAAGTAAGATTAGCTATGACCAAAGATACCCAGATAAAACAAGTGTTTGGGAGGTGCCACGAGGAGATTGAAGTTCGTTGTACCATCTTTTCAAGGTGGATTTCTAAGTTTATTTCTGTGTTCTGCTAAAGTATCATAGATGGGACCAGGGTCTTTCATTCCCTTGTGGGAACCAGAATAAAGTATATGATTGACTATCTTCAGACAGGATAGGATGATAACGGCTGCTACGCAACGGATATGGATGGACGTTATGACCCTAGCATGCTACAGGCGAAGGTCTATTGACGGTGGCGAAACCGTAGAATATCCAGTCCACCAGATCACTAAAGCGACGTCTTTGTTTAAGATGCTGCGAAGCCAATGTAATAAGGAATGTGACGTAGTTCTTTACGCGATATAATATACTAAGTGACATATAAATCCGAACACCCAGTTTAAATGGTTTTATTTTAATAAAAGTTGGTGAATGTATTTATCTTACTGTAAATAACAAGTGAAAAAATTTTCAGCCTTATCAGTTGGACATTCCGGTTTGATAGGGGCCGTATAGTGGGACTTCGGGAAGCTGGACTTTCTTTTCGGGCAATTGCAGTTAGAGTGCAAAGAAGTGTAGACACTGTGGTTAGGAGTTGTCTGGCATGGCTTCGAGAAGGTCGTACGCAAAGAGCAAGGGGCACTGGACGCCGCCGTAGAACAACAGACCGTGAAGATCGCCGCCTAAGATTATTGGCCTTAAGGGCCGTTTTTCCACTACCAGATCCATTGCAAATGAATGGTTTGCAGAACACGGAAGACCTATTGGCATGCGAAGTATTTACCGACGAATGAGAAGTTTTGGCTTGTTTTCATACCGGCCACATTGGGTCCTCCCTTTAACTCGAGAACACCGACGTAGTCGCCTTGAGTGGTGCAGACAACGGTCACTCTGGGATCAGGAATGGAACAGTATTGTCTTTAGTGACGAGTCTCGATTTTGTTTAGGCATGCACGATGGTCGTGCCAGGGTTAGAAGGCGACGTGGTGAAAGGAGGAATCCACAGTTTTTTGTTGAAAGACATGTTCATCACACTGTTGGAGTTATGGTTTGGGGTGCTATAGCTTATGGTTCCAGGTCACCTTTAATCTTCATCAGAGGTAACATGAACGCGCAGCGTTATATCCACGAAGTTCTAGAACCCCATCTTTTACCCTATCTTGACACCCTGGCAGATCCAACATTCCAACAAGATAATGCCCGACCACATGTTGCAAGAGTCACAATAGACTTCTTTCAACATAATGATGTCACATTGTTACCATGGCCACCAAGATCTCCCGACTTATCCCCAATTGAGCACGTGTGGGATATGATGGGTAGGCTTAATTTGCAACGTGCTCCTCAGACTCTAGAAGCACTTCGAGAGAAGTTGGTGGTTGCCTGGAATGAGATACCAGAGGAGGACATTGACCACCTGACCAGAAGCATGCCTAGGCGCGTTGGAGAATGCGTAGCACATCAGAGTGCATCCACACATTATTAAAGGTCATAGGGCTTTAAAGCAGTGCAATCATTTTGAAATTTTTATCATTTACTTACTATGCTTCATTAAGTATTTATACAAAATTTTATTAAAATAAAACCATTTAAACTGGGTGTTTGGATTTATATGTCACTTAGTATAGTCTCAAAACATGCAGTTTCTGTTGCAGAAATGTGTATCTGTAAAAGTTATACTGATCTCTGAAAATCTAGAGAATTTTTCATACGTGGTATCCCTAGCTCTCATAGTACATTGAAGGTGAAACGTTTTGTTATGTAACTTTAGGCAACATAATCAGCTTTCATTCTCAGGGGTAATCTTCAGCAAAGTTTTTGCATATTCATTTTAGGGCTCAGGAATACGTTCCTCCATATGACCAGACTGACAGTCTCGAGACCCGCGGAGCATGCAGGTGGTGCTACTAATAAAATTCAATTTCAATTCAATCCTTTATTGATTGCTAAATTGCTAAAAAAAATTCATTGATGACGTTTGTCGGCAATAAAATGAAAAAGCAACAGTACTAAAATACTATTAAAATCCCAAAATTTTTTTACAGCACCAAAACGAATTAAAAAGAAAAACTGGAATTCTCTCTTTGTTGAAAAACTCATTAATGTTGTAGTATGCTATGTTGAACAAAAAGCGTTTAAATTTCATTTTGAAACGCTCGTCGCTGAAGAGCTTGACTTGATCTGGAATTGCATTGACGTTGTTACTACGAGCTCTTTCCCACTTCAGTTGGCCCACTTCAGTTGGCCCACTTCAAGATTTGTACCAAAATATGCCTTTATAAACTAAACATGACGACACTGTTTACCTCTAAAACAATTTATTTTCTCAAAAACATTTTAGATACACTCTAGTCATAAAAAATGCATATTTGAAATGACTTAGACCTATAACTAATAGAACATCTGAACAAATAAACAATGTGCGAATAAATGCGCGAAGTTAACAAAGCAACAATTGAAAGATTACCATTGGGTAACATCACCTTTATTTTTAATTACGGCTAAATTCTTTGGGGCATAGTGTTAACCAAGTTTTGTCAAAAATTTGGTGTAAAACTATCCCATTTTCCTAAAGCTTTTGTCTCAGTTCGGTGATTGTACGAGCAGAATGTTGTCGTAGAACCTTTTTCATCTCGTGCCATAAAGTTTCAATAGGTGACAGACCTGGAATGCTAGAAACCCATTTCAAAAGTGGTACATTATTTTCTTCCATCCATTTTGTAGCCTTTTTTGAGGTATGGCACGCTGCACCATCTTGCTGAAACACAAAATCTTGGCCGGATGTCAAACATTCTTCCATCACTGGTAACAACGATTCTTCTAAAATTGCCAAATATTTGTTTGTATCCACATTTCCATCAATAAGATGACGTTTTCCCACTCCTTTTGGTGACATACTGCCCCAGACCATAATGGATGCTGGAAATTTTACTTTTCTCTTCAGACAGTCAACACGGAATGCTTAATTTTTTTGCGAATAACTCTACTGCAACTGTCACCAGCACAAACTTCGAATCGGGCCTCGTTACTCCATTGTATTGCACACCATTGTTGAGGTGTCCATTGTCTATGTTCTTTAGCCCATCTAAGCCAATTTTCCTTTTGCAGTGGAGTTAATAGTGGCTTTTCTTTGGCCTAGAAGCAAGTTGTGCAACTTTAGGGTTTTTACTTCACTTTTCTTTATACGAAAACTTACCTTGCAAGTCCTAAATCCCAGTTTGTGGGCCTCTCTATGAGTTGTGGACCCCGAAATTCTCCTTCCAACAGCGTCACTCAACAGAGCACTTAATTGTAAATAATGGGCACGCCTGTTTTTCACGATTATTCTTCTTAATGCTCTTCGGTCGGCATTTGTGATATTACTTTTTTTCACAACTCGTGGCTTAATATCAACTGAACCAGTTACGTTATATCTTCTTACAATATTTCTCACATTGTACCATTGATAAGTCTAACAAAGTTGCAATTTCTGAGCTTGATTTCCCAGAATTAAAAAATTTAATTATCAGAAACAGAATTTTCTCACTAATAACCTTTCCTCTACCCATTTTGAAAACCTTAACTACCAAGAAATATTTTAAACGTATTCTGACAGCTGTGATTAATAAAAACAATTATCATAGCTTTTATTTTTCACAGCCACCTATGCGTTATAGACTTATTTTGCATTGAAATGAAAATAGGTTGATATGCTGTAATTGCAACATGTGCTATTTTTATGCTGCAAATTTGATTAGGGAGTGATAAAGTTGGTGTTTTCTACTATATATTATCAAAATATTCATTATTAATATTTTACACCTGTAACATCCTGCTACATTTTTATTATTTGTGTTTGATAAGAAAAAACTAAGATTTCAATAGTTGGGCCAACTGAAGTGGGAAGGGGCTCGTATCTAAACACGCTTGTCTTGGTGATTTAGTTGTAGTTTCAGCCCATACTTTTTTATATATCTTTTAACAATTTTGCAAATTGTCTTAGGACATAAGCCTGTTTTGTTCGTCACACGTCTTTCAATATCATGAATTTTCATTCCAGGATGCTCAAAAATTTCGCTCTTATAAACGTTAAGGACAATTTATTTTACCTGAACATTCAAATGTCCCTTTTTGTCACGTTTTCGGGGAGGAGACATCACTGAAGAGGAAGCATGGCTGAAGGAAGCATTGGGAGAAATATTCTCAGTTTCATCTGCCGAATCCCTAGACGACATGCTAACGTATAATCACATGCTATGTATGCCGCGAATATGAATAGCTACTGCCGGTGATACCCCGAGCCTGAGTTCTATCCTGTCGAATCCTGCACTTGTTCGTAGTTTTATGGCCCAATAACCAATAGCTATCGCAACGCTTAGCCGGTTGCCGCTTTGCCGCGCTGCATCTTTGTTGTGCCGGGGCATAATTGGACTTCAAATACGGTATAATACCGACATCGATAGAATGTGCGAGGTAAAGGGAACCAACCCGGCGTTCCCAGAGACTGAAACACATGAGGAGACGTTGTAGCAGACCGCAGGTCACGCACAACACATAGCCTACCGAGACGCTGATGAGTCGGGCCACGCGGAGGTTAGGGTTTAGTGGGTATTAGGTGGTATCCTCAAGACAACCTGGAGTCCCACACACGCCGTAGCTCGGGCTATGGTATGGTGCATAAACGCATTCCCCCATCACCAAAAGAAAAAAAAATAATACCGTTTTTAGTAGTTTGTAGACGCTGCTGTGGTAAATTTAATTTGGGAGCATTTCGCGTGTTGTAGTTGTGCGTATCATTGTGCGTGTGTACATAAAGATGACGATTTCTAAGGTTGAATTACAAGCAAGTCAGGATGTACAACTGTGATAGGATTGATATTTTCAATCAGATAAAAGCACCATGGATCCCTGAATCCTAAGCCACAGATACATCTAAGACAACGTCTCTACATTGTAACAACTTTTTGTATTTGTGCTGAATAACCTCAGCTAAGGACTGCGTAAGATATCTTAGAATGGAAAAGTCCGTAATATGATGTGAACAAGTCATTAGTGGACACGTATTTCTTAAAATTTTTTAACACCTATATGCACCTTGATAGATCCTTCATTGTATGTCCTCGTAATACATGTTTCTGTCACGTCATATGTGCATCATTAATTACTCCTAGAAATTTGGCCGATTCAAGTGACTCAAGGTTTTTGCAAACTGACGACCATAGGCTGTGACTTATTAAATTATTATGGAGTCTCAGTTGATTTGATGTGAACCAGGTTTTCAATTCAGTTGCCATTATTTGATCTTAGAGTGTTTCAATTAATGTATGTGTCATCAGCAAATAATATAAAAAAGTAACATCCCAAGCATGCAAGCTGGCTGTCAATTTACTCATGTCATCGAAGATTCAAGACGTGGTCGGAAGCATATAAGATTACTTGAAAACAACCGTTTCATGCGTACAAAGGTACGAATAACTGCAAGATAAAATGCCTAAATCTCCTAACGGTTATTGTCAAAATTATTAGACCATGATAATTAACCCTGCAAAACGTTTACCATGATACACGTACAAAGGCTTTACAAATATCTTAACGCCTAAACCTAAACTTATCTGAATAATGGTCTTCTTCCAGTTACGGCTCTAGGTCAGCTCACCAACGCTCAAGTCAAAAAAACCAGTGCCCCGTAGTGAGCAGTTATGTGAGGGACATCTCAAGGTAGGAGCTGCTTGCTTCGTTATCCAAAATTTACGGTATAAAGCAAACCCTAGAGAGAGAGAAAAACTGTTTAAAAATCTACTCTCTACTTTATTTCTGAGACATAACTATTTAAAACACTCATAGCTTGAAGAGAAACAGAAAAATAAAGCAGATGCAAAAATTTAAACATGTACTAAAGTGATATACCTTCAGAAAGTTATCCCTTGTTGTTATGGCAGCTTAAAAATCAAAATCATGATCAATGTAATGTAGTAAGCCCAAAAGAAGGTGACGTGTAGGCACTGCCACATATTTGAATACGTAAAATGCCAAATAAAATCAAGAACACACTAAGAATTTCAGCCAGCAATAATCAATATATTAATATCTATAAAATACCCAATTAAAGTGATAGTTTACCTGTTTACATCTGTGTTTTTTTTTTGTCAAAATCGGCTGCGAAGCAGCTACAAGGCAGCTACAAAATAAAACTGGAGGAGTGTGAGTGGTGGTTCTCCGCAATGCCTTTCTACTAAAAGGAAGCGAATATTGAACAAACTTCTTCAAGACATGCATTTATGGACGTAGTCCGATAGTATAGAAAATAGAACTTACCCGCTGGAGGTTAAAATTCCATTAGAAAATGGACGGGTAGTACCCAAACCAGCACAACTGAACGAAAGATACACAATAAAAGAGTACTACTCCATAAACTGGTGTTCGGAGCGTTGATATCCCAAAATCTGAAAGTTAACGAAAAAAATGCACACGCACAATCAAAACCACAGCAGAAAGCCAACAGAAAAAGTGGCGCCGGACACGTCTGTACACCAGGTATTCAAAACAAGGCATCTTGATCGGAAAGCAAACATTAAAAGAAGGTTAAATGAGTGACCTTGAAAAAGGCATCTTGATAGGACCAAATATCCCTATATCTTCTGAGACAGTCGTTAATAATACTATAATATTAGAGTCCAAAAGATTTCAACACAATACCAAGTAGCTGAGAAAGAAAGAAATATTACGCGTGAAATTAAACAATCAATAAACTATAAAATTCATTAATTAAAAAAATGTTTGGCCTAGGAATCAGTACTCTATTATTGATAAAGAGAAATTCAAATTACTGAAAATTGATCAAATTAGTAAAAAAAATTACGTTATTTTGGCACGTGACATGAGGTTCGTTTTGGTTGGCACTGCGTGACTTCATGGAAGACGCCATGACAGTTTTCAGCATTTTTGAGGTATATCCAAATTGATTCTCGAAAAGGCAAAATACATAATGTCAAATTCAGATTTTTTGAGAAAAAAGTTTATAAGTTTTGCTCCAAGAAAAAACGTACTTTCCTCAAATCAAAGTTAAATTTATCACTAAATAATAGTATCCTAATATTTTCCCATTCTGCAAAAAAATTTAGGTTTGTACTTGGATGAAGACTTCAGATTTCAGGAGCATGTTGGCTATGTGTGTAAGTCTAGTTATTTTAGACTCAGGTTTCTATGCAAGTAAAACTGTTTTAAATAGAAAAATTAAGAAAATGTTATGCGAGTCACTCATACTCAGTAAAATCGCTTACTGCAACATAGTTTATTATCCCTGTCTGGATGAAATCACAAAATACAGACTGCAAAAAATTCAAAACTCATGTAGTCGTTACATAAACAATTTAAGAAGGTACGATCATGTTTCTCACTCAATATCTTCAATGAATTGGTTGAAAATTTCTGATCTTTTCAAATACAACTTTGTTACATTTGTCGTAAAAATATTAAAAGCTTCTGTTCCCGTTTATCTTATGCAAAAGCTTGTTCGTAGGAATTTAATTCACAATTTGAAGACGCGCAACATTAATCTCCTGACAATGCCACAACATAGGACAGCCATTTTTCAACGGTCTTTTACGTATAATGCGGTGGAATTGATCAACTCTTTGGAACAATATTTCATCAGCAACTTTTCTAAAAAAAAATATAAAAACTACTTATTGAGCTCTTAGGTTATTGTCCTCTCTTTGAATCGTACGTATTATGTTTTTTGTTCTAATCGTACGCATTATGTCATATTTATTAATTCTTCTTTTACTATTATTCTTCTTTTTCCTTTTTTTTCAGTTTTTTTTTATTTTATTTTGAA